ACACACACACACACACACACACACACACACACACACACACACACACATTCTTTCCTCATTTCCTTAATTTTTTTTTCCTTGAAATGGAGTTTCACTGCTGTCCCCTTGATCTTGAACTCCTGAGCTCAAGCAATTCTCACTTTGTTTAGTATCTAAGGTTATAGGTGTGAATATTGAGCTTACCTTTCTATTTTTTTATATTTTCCATCATGAAAATCTTGTGTTCAAATTTCAACTTAAACAGAGAAGAAGGTAACTACATTCACTTCTCTATTTTTTTTCTTGGTCCCTTACTATACCTCTGGCTAGTCTTGAACTTATGACAATACTTCTGCCTCAATATCCCAAGTCATACAATAAAAGTAGTTAGCTTCCAATTTCCAGGAGGATCTATATATGTTTATCTTTGGGTTCGCTTTGTTATTTGGCTTCTCTGGGCTTGTGAACTATAGGCTTAATGACCTTGGTTTATGGCTAAAGTCCACAAATGAGTGAGTACATACCATATTCATCTTTTTGGGTCTGGGTTATCTCACTCAGTAAAGTGTTTTCTATTTCCATCCATTTGCATGCAAAATTCAAGATGTCATTGTTTTTTACCGCTGAGTAGTACTCTAATGCATATATATTCCACACTTTATCCATTCTTCCATTGAGGGGCATCTGGGTTGTTTCCAGGTTCTGGCTATCACAAATAATGTTGCTATGAACATAGTTGAACAAATGCTTTTGTAGTATGATAGGGTATCTCTTGGGTATATTCCCAAGAGTGGTATTGTTGGATCCTGAAGTAGGTTGATTCCGAATTTCCTGAGAAACCGCCACACTGATTTCCAAAGTGGTTGCACAAGTTTGCATTCCCACCAGCCATGGATGAGTGTTCCCCTTACTCCACATCCTCTCCAGCAAAGGCTATTATTGGTGTTTTCGATTTTAGCCATTCTGACAGGTGTAAGATGGTATCTCAAAGTTGTTTTGATTTGTATTTCCCTGATCACTAAGGAAGTTGAACATGTGAGCATGGGGGTGGGGGCAGGGATGGGGGTGAAGTTGGGGGAAAGGGGAGAAGGGGAGAGGGAAGGGAGAAGGGAAGGACTGGCAACAGCTTGGGGGAGTGGGAGAGTGGAGATGGAGGAAGATCAGATATAGAAGCAGGGAAGAAGATATCTACATTAAAGGATCCATTTTAGGGTTGGCAAGAGACTTGGCTCTAGAGGGGATCCCAGGTTTCCATGGGGATGTCCCCAGCTAGGTCCCTGGACAGCAGAGGAAAGGGTGCCTGAACTGTCCTTGCCCCACTATCACGCTGATAATTATCTCGAATATCACCATAGAATCTTT